TCCTCCTCCTCCTCCTCCTCCTCCTCCTCCTCCTCCTCCTCCTCCTCAGGTGTTCCTGGAGTTTGCCAAGCAACAGGAGAGTGATGAGGAGGAGGTGGGTTCTGTCAGCACCACCTTCCAGTGGCAGCGGCTGCAGCAGGAGGCAAACCACGCCGACAGCATTGTCCATCAGCTCTGAGCTTCTCTATGGCGGCTCGTGCACGCTCACAGCAGAGGCGTGCACATGTGTAACCTTCGTCTGACGTGTTTGTCAGCATGCTGAAGCCACACCTCCTCCTCATGGTGATATTTTTTCTCGAGGAGTCATTTCGTGGGAATCCTGATGTTTTTGTTCCGTGACCGGGCGGCGCCGTGGCAGATTCCTCGCCTCTGATGTTTTTGTGAAAAGCACCTCCTCCTCCGAGGAGCTGTCCTCTAACCGTCCAGAGGAGGCGCTGCAGCTGAGCCTGAGCTCAGAGGACGACGGACATGCTCCTCCCTCTCTGACTGGAAACATTTAAATAAGCGCACGTGTAGCACGACGCCCTCTGACGAGGAGACACGCAGCAGCAGGAGGCGCTCCGGTTTTAGTCCGTCCATGCGGAGAGGAGTTCGGAGACTCCGAGGAGTTTTCTGTTCGTTTTCACTGATCGGTTTCCTGTGCGTCCGTTTGTGTTAAAGCTGTAAATACTGTTCCTGTGAGGCGTTCAGGGGCGCTGCTGGTGCGGCGTCCACCAGCAGACTTTAAATTTCATTCAGGTGGAAGAGTGTCGCCTCCTTCAGGCACTGAGGGGCGGAGCTCCACGCCTCCTTCAGGCACCGAGGGGCGGAGCTCCACGCCTCCTTCAGGCACCGAGGGGCGGAGCTCCACGCCTCCTTCCGATCAAAACTCAATCTTTTAGTTCTCAGAGAGTCGGGGGCCGGTGGACGAGAAACTGATTCAAGGATTCATGTTTGGTCGTTTGACACTCGTCACCTGCACGTCGACTCGTTTACGTCTTTAGTTGTTGGTTTCAGCTCAACATGTAGCCGTCCGGTTTTATTGCACTTCTCCGAGAGCAGCTCCGGTCTCCAAAGACCAGAATGAATCTTCTAATGTGGCGAGGCCTTCAGGCGCGTTTTCTTCTGGTGAAATTGCACTACAGAATTTCTGGGAGATTTTATGTAACCTTTCTTTAAATATGCAACCTCTGTAAATTATTTTATAATTTAAAAGGCGAGGTTTGATTTGTGTCACGTTTAAATGTGTCTGAATGAACTTTGATCTATTTAATCTTTTCATCAATAAAAAACATTCAAATAGCAGATGGGCCTTATTTTTTTTTCTCCCTGCCCCCCAAAAAAGATTAATATATATACTTTTTAAATTTATTAAAAATATAAATGTTCAGTCATAAGGGCAGAAATAAAAGGATTTAAAAAAAAACTTTGATTATTTTTAATACAGCTGCTGCCCCTGGAGGATTCAACTTTTATTTTGGTCAGCTTTTTACATTTAGGGAATCACTTTAGTCTTTTTAATTTAAAGCAGTAGAATTTGTCCATAAGTAACAGGAAGTTAAATTCTGAAGTAATAGATTATTCAGTTTATTTTGAAACGTGAACAGGAAGTGTCTATGACTATGACGATGTTTGGCGCCACCTGGTGGTCAAAGCGTTAAACCCGGAATTTGACAGAACATTGGTTGTATTCATCTTGAACAGATGTGCGTGGAGGACACAGATGTGGACATCATGAGAACACAGACTGCACGCTCAACGATAGAACTTCCATGATGTTCCTCGACAACTATTTGCATTTGATCAAATTAAAGTTTCACATTTTAAACATTTTCAGTGTGTTCGGATCCAAACGTCTAAAACGACCTGCTGCCCTCTGGTGGTCAGCCTCTGCAACTACAAGCTGCTTTTTAAAAGTAGCTTTATTTAAATTTGTTTTGGTCGATCTTTGGAAACGGATCAAGTTCAGTCTTGAACTCCAGCTTCAGTCTGGCTCAAAGATTTTATATCTGCTGCAGTTTCAGTTGATTTTGACCCACCTAATTGACATTTGTAGAAGTATAGGTTCTAAAAGTCTAGAATAAAATAGAAATGGACCAACTCCTGATCAGAACAAGTTATTTTCATGCTGTAATCTCCATGAACTGAACAGCTGCTGAGTTGGAGAGTACTCACCTGACTTGAAATGAGAACCCTTAATATCAGAACATGACTGATGCAACTTCCAGGAGAGATGATCTAAATTTGGAAGTAATGCTTAAAAAACTAGGGAAACTTTTCTGAGGTTTGTGAATTAAAATGTTAAACGGAACTGGCATTGATGAGTCCATCAGAAGGAGAGGATTCATCCCACAAGGAGCTGCAGATCTCATTACCAGATGGATGTGATGCAAAAATCAGTGGTTCACTGTTCCAGGAAGGGCCGGGTCTTTCAGGACCACGTTTCATCCGGCAAGGCAGCGCCTGCAGCATCATTCCAGGTGTTCGAGTTTCACGTGGACTTCACATTTCACAGCTGACTCCATCCAAGGTGGAGCCCAAGGTGGAGCCCAAGGTAGAGCGCAAGGTGGAGCCCAAGGCGAAGCCTCCTACACATGTGACTATTACGAGGCGAGGCCTGTACAGGCCTCTTAACGAGACCTTCCACCCACATTTTGTTCCACCTCATGTACCACATGTGATGCTCACAAGATACTTCAGTGGATGTTTGTCCCCTTGTGGTGAAACCCAGAACTACTTCCGGTCAGTTCTTTCAAAACAAAATGTTCTCAGCCTGAGCTTTCTGGAGAAAAGTGCATTTTTATTTCTGATTCGAGTTTGACCCTTTAGCTTCAAATCAACCTTCCTGCTCTTTGCTGCCCTCTGGTGGTCAGAATGGAGAGGACAGCTCGAGTTGAAACCGGCTCTCACTGGAATTGATTTAATCAATCAATCAACCTTTATTTATACAGGTAAATCCCATTAATAAAGTTGGTTTTCTGACTGATTTAGTTTAAATATTCTTCTACACCGTCAAACCAGCCTGAAGGACAAAAACAAAGAAAAAAAAATTAAAAACCAAAACAAGAACGCAGCAGTTTTTGTTTTCCACATTTATTTTGTTTAAACGGCTTCTTTAAAGTCCGACGCAGCAGTTTCACCTGCAGGAAACAGGGTCCAGACTGGTTCTTCCAGAAACCAGGACATCTTACAGTTTATGACCACTGGACCCACTCTCAGGCAGAGGACCGTGGTCCAGAGTGTCCTGGGTGTATTTGGAATCGGAGCGGAAGTCTCGTGCTCGCTGGTAGCCGCTGCTCGAGTGCACGATGTGGGATGACGGGTACAGACGACGGCCTTCGACCGAGCCCAGAGGAACGTAGTCGAAGGTCCAAGGGAAGCGAGGGGAAGGACCTCTGGGACTGAAACGCAACAGGTCGGCAATCATCTGGGCTATTCCTCCATCCATAGAGTCCAGGAGGTCGGCATCAGACCCAGAACCAAATCCAGAGGCAGCTCCACTGCTGCTGTAAGACCCAGAACCAAAACCGTCACTGGGGTCACCGAACAGGGAACCAAAGCTGTAGTCCGATCCAGCTGGACCTGAAACAGTTTTACAGCGTTTCCTTATAAATCTTTAAACCGTTAAATCGTTGATTCAAGAAAACAAAGTTCATGTGGACAAGTTGCCCCAGACCCGAAGACTCACCTCGTTTCACCGGAAAACCAGCTCCGGAGCCGAAGAGCAGGAAACAAACGCACGTGGTCCTGGAAACACAACCCTGTGAGGAAACAGGCCGAGCACGTGCAGCTGGCGTGCACGAGACCAGGCCCGAGCGCTGCGGCGGCGTGCACGAGACCAGGCCCGAGCACGAGACCAGGCCCGAGCGCTGCGGCGGCGTGCACGAGACCAGGCCCGAGCGCTGCGGCGGCGTGCACGAGACCAGGCCCGAGCGCTGCGGCGGCGTGCACGAGACCAGGCCCGAGCACGAGACCAGGCCCGAGCGCTGCGGCGGCGTGCACGAGACCAGGCCCGAGCGCTGCGGCGGCGTGCACGAGACCAGGCCCGAGCACGAGACCAGGCCCGAGCGCTGCGGCGGCGTGCACGAGACCAGTCCCGAGCACTGCGACGGCGTGCACGAGGCCTCGTCACGTCTCTGGAGTCCAGGCTTTAGCGGCTCCTGGTTCCAGGTGGACCGTCGGTACAACGAGCGTCTCGGTCCACACGGACCGAGCTGGACCTTCAGCGCCGAGCTGCACAAATATTTTCTAAATTATTTTAAGTTCTGTTTTTTATAAATACTTTTTCTCTAATCTAATCTTGTAAAAAGCTGTGATTTACCGAAACGTGTGAAACCGAGACGTTTGACGTGAAGGCCGACCGCTCGAGAGCGTTCGTCGTCGTGGCTGCAGGTCTGGATCAGATCCACAGAACTTCAGCTTTAAACGGCAGGACGACGACTTCCTGTCTGGACCAGGAGCAGAAACTTGGGCCATCAAAAACTGAATCTGTACCGTTTGTTTGAAGCTGAATTTCTTGAGTTAAATTCAGTTCCACTTTCATTTTCAGTTTATAATTCAGTTCGTGTCACATCAGGTCCGAGAGTCATGGAACGCAGATCGACAGGTTCATGTTTCAAATCAGTGGAACTTCCTTCATGGAAGTGTAGACGTGGGGTTCAGTCTGAAGGAGGCGGTGAAGCAACCCATGAAATGTGCTGTGAAACAAAGAAGAAGAACTTCCTGTGGCGTATTTTCAGCAGCACCAAGTCACAACAGAAGTCGTCTAGAGCTGAACAGAAGCAACAAAACAATCAGTACAAGTTCTCCACGAAGAAGCAGCAGACTCGGTCTTCACTTCATCAGTCTCCATCCTGAGCAAGCACAAAGGCGACAGTAAGAAGGAAGAAGTGCCTTTAACAGGAGGAACCTCCAGCAGAACCAGCTCAGGACGAGCGGCTGGTTCGAGAGGACAGGAAGTAGAAACTGAGAGAATGGCAGGTCCAGGTAATCAATACGGTGACAATACAGCGTGTTGAGCTGGAGCAGTGACACACATGAACTTGGCGTGCACGCTCCTGCTCCAGCTCAAATACATCAAAACAAAGTTTCACTGATGCAAAATGTAAATCTGTTCTTCTGCGTTCGGTGACTCCGGGTCTTTCTCAAGAACTGGATGTGACAAAAACTGAATTATCGAACTGAATTTAACTCGAGAGCGCGCCGCCTCCGGGCCCAGAGCGTGGAGTCCAGGTTGAGTTCAGTTTCAAACCACGGGTACAGATTCAGTCGCGACGACCCCGAACCTTCAGAAATAAAAGCTCGGTCTCTACAGACAACTCCAGCCATCGTGGTTCTTTGAGAAATGCTCCGTCTCATTCCTGTCTGCAGGTTGATGCGGTTCGTTTTACACAACAACTACTAAAGTCTTTAAAAGAAACGGGTGCATTAGAGTTACTGCTTCATGAAGGCTGACCAGCAGATGGTTGTGTCAAACGCTTCAAAGCACTGAAGCAGTTCAGCGCAAGTGCTTCATGTTGGTTCAGAACGATTCATTCTAATAAAACCCTCAGATGACACAAGATGGCCGCTCACCTGAACCGACACAGACGCTCCATGTTGACCAGTTCAGTAGAAGCACCTGCTGCAGCCTGAAGAGGAGCGGCGAGCTGCCACCACTCCATTTATAGCTGCTTTGATGAACCTCGTTAACGACACCTGCTGCGGTGATCTGCCGGTAAACCGAGAGGAGGCCGACGGCCTGGGGCCCTCGACGCAAGAGGTTTCTCAGCTAACTTCACTCGATGTGGCAGGAACACGAGGACGCACGGCGATATTAGAAATGTTCAAACAGAATAAAACCTGCAGAGGGACAGGAAAAATCCAGCGGGTCAGAACTGGACGGGTCGGTTCTGAAGCACCAAACTGTAAAACTGAGAGCAGGAATCATTTTAATGAAGCATCAGAACAAATTAAAATATGTTTTATAATAGAAAACATTCTTTTACAAGATTTGTGGAAAATATTTAGCAGACATGTTTAAAAAGTCCTGATTTAGAGAATATTCAGTTGTTGTTTCTGTCAGTCCAGGTCCAGGTCCAGGTCCAGGTGGGTCTGTGTTGCGTAGCAGAGGACCACTACTGTCCGTGAAGTCAGGATCCAGGTGGATCTCCAGGAAAGGGTCCGTTGGGTCAGGCAGGTGATTCCCCGTGGACCACAGCTGCAGGAGACGCTTCTGTCCAGCTGTGGTCCTCTCCTTCACCAGGTCCAGGAAGCGCTGCAGAAGTCTGGCAGACTGGACCCCAAGCAACGAAACCACCTCTCAGACTTTGGAGAAGACTGGTCCGGCCGTCTCCAATAACCACCTCAGGGTCACTGTCCCAGATCCACACAGAACCTTTGACAGACCCGGCACCGCGCTGTCAGGGACGTCCATTCTCTCTCCACAGACTAGAGGTTCCTCTAAGAGAATTATACGTTCTTGATCTGTTTGGGTTAAAAAAGAAAACACTGATAAAACTGGGACATGAACTTTAACAGTGGTCAGAAACAGAGCAGCATCCAGGCCCAACCTGCTCACACGTCTCAGGATGCAGCTGGCCACGTCCCCCCACAGCGTCAGGAGGTCCTGCCAGGAACTTCTGGAGGAACTGTGTTTGAAAAGTGGCCGTTCTTCTGGCCAGGTGGACAAGGCCGTGCCCCCCTCCTCTCTCAGTAAGAACAGGACCGACTGTGTCGACCGTCCCAAAGAACTCCTCCATCTCAGACTGTGTTTTACTAACAGGCCTGGAGGTGGGTCTAAAACAGAAAGTTTGTCCCACAGCTGTGATGCAGCTGGATGTTTAACACTAGTACTTTTACTCTGTAGGACATCTTAGAGTGCAGACATTTCCATTTTTCAAATTCATTCTTGACCTTCTGTTCCACATTTTCCAGGACTGGTTCCAGGGAGAGAGCATAGAGCATTCCTGAGAGTGCACAGCCCTGCTGAACACCTCTCCACACCCGACAAGGAGCACACAGGCCACTGTTGACCTTCACAACGCCCTCAACATTATTGTACAGCACCTGGATCTTGGCTCTGAAACCAGCTCTGAAACCGAACCCTCCATGGTTTCCCAGAGGAAGATGTGCTCATCGAGGTCAAAAGACCAACGTTGTGTTCAGACCCAATGAACTGGAGACTTCCAGAACATCTCGAATCAGCTACATGGTATCTACAAATGTACCATGGACCTGCTGGGGATGCAATAATTCTGGTCCTGGTAGATGACCTGTTAGAAGTAAGATTCTGAATTCTATTCTGGATTTGACTGGGAGCCACTGGAGAGAAGCTAAAACTGGAGAGAGATGATCTCTCCCAGTAACTCCAGTTAAGACT